CATGGCCCTCGTCATCACAATTAGCAGCCTATTGATGAGCACAGATTACTCCACTTCCTTCAAACCCATCTCTGTGTGCTACACTGGTCTCTAGCTATGACACTATGGAGAGGTACTATTGATACTCAAGCACTCTGATAAGCAGGGCTTTCAATAGGCTGAGGTAGGAGGCCTCCTTGTGAGTTGAGAACAGCTTATGATGCACAGTGAATTATTCTAGACTAGATCTGATTAAAATGAGATCCTGTTTAAAATTAGAAAATAAAATATAATAAAAGAGGCTTCAGGGTTATCCAGTTCATGTTCTGTTGTTAATTGATCCCCTTGCCCTCTTGTCAGAACGATCCTAAATTTTAGTGACCAAAGCTGCTGTTTCAAAAGTATAAGACAAGAGTGAATTTAAGTTGCAAATAAAAATTGCTGCAATTCTTAGTCTAGTATGAACAGTCCTTTGACATCCAAATATAAATTAGACTCAGATTGAGTTTGTTAGAAAGATGTTGTTTTGCTTAAGGCAGGAAAAGGGTCGGTTCCTTGTTGGGTCAAAGGAACAGGCAATGCCCAGGGCATTATTTGAGAAGTGCTTCAAAAGGTCTCTGACATCTCTGTGACCTTCCCTTATTTAGCAACCACATCTATCGCCATAGTCTTACCCATGACTTTTAAGCTGAAGAAGAGACCAGGTCAACGGTATCCATCTCAATGTTCTGCTTCTCTAAACACCTGCTATACATTTCCTCCTTGACATTCTGTGTATGCTTGTTATAGCAAACTGAATCCTTCATCTCTAATGCCGAAATGTCCTCAGCACAATATTCTTCAGGGCATCCTGTCCCTCTTGCACTCCTGCCTTGGTTTGTCACTCCATAAGGAAACGTTGCTTTCATGGCAGCCTGTCACTTGCATTTCTCCTGTCTCCCCTTGTTTAGAGCCACACCAGTTCTTGCCCACACTGCTGAGGTAACTTTCTCTGCCTATAGTTCTTCCCACCGCAGCCCAAATTCAGTATTCAGGAGTAGCCAAGGAACAACTAAGAATAATTGGATCCAGCTTGTTAGGTTAAAACGGGGTCAGTGATGGACTCTAAAAGGCTTAAGTTAAAGTTTCTATTGGAGCTCCTTCCCTGTTCCAAATGAAGGAGGGATTGTACTACTTCTGGGTGCAGACAAGCAGAATGTCAGTCACAGCCAACAGAAATATGGAGAACGTTTCTCTCTACTCTCACTTGCAAGGAATCTAGGCTTTGTCTTTACTGGTACTTATTTTCCTCCTTCATACCTCATAGTGGATGAGTGTGTTCTCCTGCAGAAAGAGGCTCCCCCTGCAATCCCAGCCCACAGCCTTTCAGTCAGGGCTCTGCTACCTTGAGCCTTTAGGTAACCTGACAAAGCATGTTTGGTTATTGATACCTTCGATGTGCCAGGCTCGGGGCCAGTATTTCTCCTTAATTGTCCACCGTAGCAACCCTATAAAACTACTACAAGCTTAAAGTTTTATTTTCTTATTTAAATTAGAAACAATCTTATTTTATATATCAATCCCAGTTCCCTCTCCCTCCCATTCTCCCATGGCCCCCACCAAACCCCATCCCATCCCTCTTCTGCTTCATAGAAAGGCTGAGGCCTTTCAATGGGGAAATCATCAAAGTCTGTTACATCATTTAGAACAGGGCCTAGGCCCTACTGCATGTGTCTAGGCTGAGAGAGTATCCTCTATGTGGAATGGACTCCCAATGTCCATTCGTACACTTCGTATAAATGCTGTTCCCTTACCAGGGGCCCCATAGACTGCCTAGGTCTCCTAACTGACACCCACATGCAGGGGGCCTGGTTCCATCCTAGCTGGTTTCCCAGCTATCGGCCTGGGGTCCATGAGCTCTCCCTTGGTCAGGTCAGCTGTTTCTGTGGGTTTCACCAACCTGGCCTTGACCCCTTTGCTCATCACTCCTCTCTCTCTAACTGGGTTACAGGAGTTCAGCTCAGTGTTAAGCTGTGAGTGTCTGCTTTTGCTTCCATCAGCTACTGGATGAAGGCTCTAGGATAGCATATAAGGTAGTCATCAATCTCACTATAGGGGAAGGGTATTTAAGGTAGCCTCTCTACTATTGCTTAGATTCTTAGTTGAGGTCATCCCAGTATATCTTTGGACATTTCCCTAGTGCCAGATTTCTCTTTAAACCTATAATAGCTCCCCCCATTATGGTATCTCTTTCTTGCTCTCACAAGTTTTAATTTTTTATTAAATTTTTATTTCTTTCATGTGAGTGTGTGAGGGAGAGATAGAAAAACAGACACACGGGGGAGAAGGAGGGAAAGCACATACACGTGTGGCAGTCAGAGGTAGGTCTCATGAATCAAACCCAGATCAGTCTTTTGTGGCAAGCACCTTTGCCCATTGGGCCATCTTGCTGGCTCCAGACTTGAATTTTTAACCTATCTAATAAAAAGAGAAACTCTGGTATATGTATATGAAAATGTTATAATTAAGTCTATTAAGTTTTGTGCCAACTTGGAAAAATGGGGTGGGGATCCAAAATTATGTGGGTATTAAGTGGCAAAGTGTATTAGACCAGAGTTCTTAACTCGATTCTATATAATCTGAACAAAGGAGTAAAAGAAAGGAGGAAGAGAATGAAGGGACCATAGATCAGATGGGTTAGTCTAAATGTTTGTGGGGAACCCTATACTGAGAAATTGCATCTGGTATCTTTATCTCAATAACTATTAAACTCTATGTGTTTCCAGCCAAAATTATAAACACTGATTGTTATCGTAGTTACTGGGAAATGAATGTAGAGAAAAGGAGAAACTGCAATACGCTTGCTTGACTATTAAGAGAATAATTACAGCACACTGTTTGTCATAAGACTTGTCACCATGTAAGTGTTCATTTCTTCAGTTGTATATTAGAATAACAGTGCACAGCTTGCTTTGTTTTGATTTTAATGATACCATCCCAGTGTGCCCATTTTTCATGTAATGTATTATTAAGCTCAACTTGTTAAAAAAATTAGAGATGGCAATAATGAAATGCTAGCAAGAAGAGGTTATGAAATGTTAAGACAGTGGCCAGGATATATATAAATATTTATTGAACTTGAATGTATCATTTGAACCAGAGATGAGCTAAAATGTTATATTAATGTTTTAGTTCATTATATAAATAACCACACAAAAATAAAAGTCCACAGCTTCTGACAGAATCTCTACTTTTTAGGAGTCTATACTTATACATAATTTTACCAACTTGTTTCCTGTGTCTAAACTGAACTTAGAAAGATTAGAAACAAGAAAAGTTTGTGTGTGCCTACTGTGTGCCTGCTATGTGCCAGACATCTTAGGTTCATTATCTCCTTGATTTGAAATCAACCCCAAGGAGCAGATATGCCACCTCTCTTAGATTAATAAGAAAACTGTCAACATGGTAGCACACATCTGAAATTACAGAACTTAGTAGGCTGAAACAGGAGGAATGCCATAATTCAAGACCAGTGTGAGCTACATAGTGAGTTTCAGGCCAGCCTAGATTATGAAGAGTGAAGTCCTTGTCTCAAGAACAAACATGCAAACAAAACTAGATAGCTGATAGATAGTCAGGTAGATAGATAGATAGATAGATAGATAGATAGATAGATAGATAGATAGACAGACAAAGATAGACAGACAGAGATAAAAAAATTTAAATATGCTAAAACTGAGGTCTATAGAGACCAGGAAATCATCTGAGATTATATAAGCAGCAAATGCCAAATCAGTAATCTGAACTCAAATGTCTCTGTCTCCAAAAACACATTTTAAAAACATATCAGTCATTTAGACATCGGGTTCTTTAGTATCTTATGATGGTGAGAGGGGCCAACAGGAGGTTGAGACCTGTCTCCTTCCCTTACTTCAGCTAGAGTACCTGCTTGCAATAAAAGATGTTTTTAAGCCTGACCATCCATAAAACATGTATTGTAATGGAGATTTAACATTAAGAAGGACTTTCATGTAGGTCTGTGTGTACCGATGGGTAGATATTTTATTTCAAATGAAAGAAAATCTATCATTAGTTACCAACCAATGAGACTTTAGTAGGTTAAGCTAGGCATATGGGAATCATAAAAATTAAAAATGTATTTATTTCAGATTTTGCCAAGATAAGATAAAGGTAGTATTATAGGTAATGAAGGCCACCTAACCTGGAGCCCATGTCTGCTTAGTCTTCAGAATAAGTGGTTCAGAAAAGAGGACCACATAAGGTGGGCTGGGCCTGTCTTTCTCAGATGTTCACAACAGTGTCCTTGCAGCTTGATGACTCCCTTAAGCTACTAATGAAAACCAGACTGAAAGCAAAACAAATGATCACAGGCCCTGTTATATCAGGAGAGAACTCTGGGGATGATATATGGATTTCTTTGCATTTGTTTGTTCATTTATTCACTCATTCATTCATTCATTCATGCCAATGATGGGGAGGGGGTCTCAACTATAATGAATTTTACCAAGGAAGCAAGCTGGAAACTGGCAACACTTGAAACTAGTTTACTGTACCACATCAGAATTTTATTCTGTTGTTTATTTTCTTATTTAAAAGTGGAAACCTAGCAAATATTTGGGTGTTTCTTTGGAACTCTCCCATGCCTTTATTGCTTGAAGGTAAAGATAGAGACAGCCATGAGATTGAAGGCTAAGTCCCTTTCCCAAGAGAAAAAGTAAGTTTTTCCCCAGTTGCCCTGTTTGGATTATGAAATATCTGTCAGTTCCCAGAGAGCAAGAAATGCATTTTTACCTGAACAAGGCTGAAAAAAGTCACAGTAGCTGACACATGGAATTGGAAAAAGAGAAAATACAAAGTATATTATTTGTTTGAAAAGTATCAAGAGTCCAAACCTATCCAAAGATGAAGGCTCAGGTATAATCCTAGGCTGTTTCCTCTGGAAACAGATTTCTGCTAAAAGAAGTATACTTCTAGTACCCTCCTCAAGATTTTATCTGACTCTTATTTTATTTTTATTCCAGTTGCTACATTGATGGCCGGGTGGTCAAGGTGATGGACTTCCTGAAAACGCGTCTGTTAGATACACTCTCTGACCAGATTAGGAAAATTCAGAAAGTGAGTAAAATTATCTGTGAGCTTGATTTGTTTGGAAGAAAGACAAGGAAAAGGTCACAGGGTCTCAGCTGGAATTTGGTGCTGTGGGAACCAGGGTAGGAAAAGATTCCAGATGGACGTGGCCACATCCCCTTCTTTCAGTGATGATTGTCGGTCATTATTGTTTTTCACATTTAGAAGGGTTTATATTTGTCACATCAAGATCTAGAGTTGTTCTAATGATTTTGACAGGTACACATTGCTGGTGGGAATGGAAGTAGTGTAATCAAGGAGAACAGTGCAGAAGAGTCTCAAAAACCAGACACAGAACTAAGCATGGCCCAGTCAATCAAAGTGTGGTCCGTCATCACATCAAAGAGCGACTTGCAGTCCCTGAAGCACAATTGAGAATAACTGAGATACAAAATCAACCATGGTATCTATCAGTGGACAAATGAATGACAAAAATAGTATAAGGTTTCTTATGCAATAAGGAATATAACCCTGTCATTTTCAGAAAAATGGATGGAACTGGAGGTCATTGTGTTCAATAGAATAAACCAGACTTAGAAAGAGAAATACTACCCATCCTTTCCCCTGTGGAAAAGGTAAACAGTTCACTTAAACTAGAAAATAGTAGCAGGTAGAAGAGAAGGGGGGGAAACAAATAGAGAAGTTGGATAAGAGGTACTATAACACAGAAACATGGTGAAAATACACCCATGTCTCCAGCACAACAGGGTAACTATTCACAATGACATAGCTTAGCAATACCAGAGACTCTAAATGTAAACAAATAATGAAGAGGTGAAGAGCTTCATATTAAAAACTGAAATCATTCACAGTATCCTATAAATATGCGCAGTTACTATTAATTAATAAAAACAAAAAGTAGAATTCAAAGAATAAAAATTTCACATGGTAATCATATTAAAGATTTGTTAAAACAAACTAACAATGAAAAATTCAAGACTTTTTCTTCATCCTTCCAACTTTGTATAACATTTAAAATTAAGTGTAAGTCTTATTTTTATATAAAGGGATTCTTAAAATGGCAGGTTTCTTGTTTTCTTTTCCTGGGGATTCACTTGGCACTAGTTTAAGGACATAATTATTGCTCACATTCATTGAAGTTATGGTTTTGAGGGCTCATTATTCTGATCCCTATTTACAACATTCTTAGGTATCTTAGAATCAGCCATGTAAGAGGTGACTTTTGTAAAAAGGAAGAGGAAGCTAAATCATATCAAGCAATTGCATGTAGGTCTTTCTAGCAAGACCTCTTTAGTTAATAAATCTATCTAGATAACCAATGATGCTCATTAGTATGTGTCTAGCCTCATTCATGACACTCTGGTTTAGTGTGGCTAGAGTAGTTCTGCCTTGAATGGTCAGCTGTCTAGTTGTTCTGTGTGTCACAGGTCATAGAGTCACATTTTGAGATATACTAGAGTCATTCATTCTAAATAATAAGGATGTTATGTCTACAATTTCCACCATGCTTTATCAAAATAAAACATCTTGTGCTGTCTGGTAAGATTGTTTCCAGATATTTACACCCTATGGATAGTCAGCTATCCTGTTAAGCAGATAAAACACTTCTCAACAAGTAGTCCTTCTGTAAATGTGGGATGAAAGTATACATAGACAAATGAATGAAAAGTTCATGTTTAAAACTATCTCTGGAAGAAAATTCTACTTGAAGCCACCATAGATAAACACCATTGAGAACTACAGTGGAAGTCTGAGCCTTTTTTATATTCTCTTACTAATGTCATATTCAAATCACATATATAGCTTCCATGTTCTTGGGGAGTGTTAGAGTCTGAGAACTCTCAAGATTTCTGGGTCTCTGTATCTCAGTGTAATCACCATGGGACCAGGGACATTGGCCAGAACCTTTTTCTGACACTGCCTTCTATTAGGCAAGAAGAACTAAATGATCTGAAATATTTCTGCCAGTCTGTTTGACAAGTTAGTGGAAAGTATTGCTAGCACCAGGCACAGTGCCAAATGCTGGAGATACAAAATAGAATAAGATGTGGCCTCAAGGAATTCAGTTCTAAGTTTTAATATTTGACTAGGTTGGAACATGTTGCCTGGTGCAACAGAATATCAACGTATTGTTGATCGTGGTGGTGCATGCCTATAAACTAGCCCCTGGGAGACTGAGGCAAGAGGATCAGCCTTTGTTAATGAGATCCAGCCTCAAAAACCAACCTACAGAATGCTACAGTTTTAGGGACTCACTGTACTAATTTAAATGTTGCTCTCTAGAAGGAATGTTCTTCTACTTCTTTACTTGTAAGTTAATTGTCTCATGTGACATGCTTCAGACAGTCTTCTAAGTGTTTATATTACAACAATGTACAAGATAGTCAAGTTCCTTTGTTTTGGATTTTTCTAGCTTTGAACATAATTAAAAGATTGTTATTAGTAATAATATTGTGTCAAGAGAGATGATTCTAACGGTAGTCATGTTATTAGTTAAGTGTAGCAGGTAAGTGTAAGTTTAAACAAAGATGAAGGTGTTATCTTTCCACTTTACCCTTTACCAATGCATATCCCTTAACCATCACAGAATATTCAAAAGCTAAAGGAGCAAAGCTTACTTCCTGGTTTATATATGGTTCCAGAAATATAGGTAAAAGAACTATGGAAAATTGAGATTCAAGCCTTTAAGCATGTGCCTGATGCCCTTAAAGTGGCCTCCTACTTCAGGAAGAAATAGTGGAACCTCTCAGGAGAAATGACCTATATGTGAAAGGCTTCTGGAAGGGAGTAGATCGGGCATCGCCTTTTGGCAATTGGACATGCCGAGAAGTCCTTTCAAGCCATGATCCCTATTCTGATTTCTGTGGTTGTACAAGCAATCATTCCAAAACTTCATGGCAAATACAGTGTTTATTATGTGATAGAACAGACAGGCTGGGATTTGCACGGGGCATACAGGGATAGTCTCTTTGCTCCATGGTAGCTGAAATTGTTAGCTGGAATATTTGATGGCTGGGGTAATCCATATTGTAAATTAAGATTTATCAGAAGGCATCTTTTACTCGGCTAGAGGTAATTTCACCTTAGTTGGGGCTGAGAGCCAGAATATCCATGACTTTTTTTCTTTACCTATAAAGTGAAGATGCTAAGAATTCTATGTTCCCTATTTTTAAGGAAGTTAGGAAGATCACACACAGTGGGTCTATTAATTGAGATTGAGTACTAGTTGTTATTGCTGTTATTTGTTAGTTATTATACTCATTGTAATAATTTTCATGACTAGAAATGCTCCATACTACCTTTATTCTCTGTTTGCTCTTTGCCTTTTTTCTCTTTCCTCTTCCTTTGAACCCTGGAGAATATAATAGGTGATATTTTTGGCACCTGAAAGGCAATGACTCAATTGCTAAAAGCAGCTGTGGTTTCCAAATTTGGACTGCCATTTAGAGAAGAATTCTGTTTTCTCAGCAGTCAGTGAATTATCAGGTTAGATGAAAATCTATATGATACTTTTGGAAACCAGTGAAATGTCTGGACAGCCCACACCTTTGGATGAGCACACATTGCTTTCCATTAGAACAAGAATAATCATCTGTGTTGGGAGGTGAGTCAAACGAAAGAATTCAGACTCTCACAATGCAGAGACAGGTCAAATGGGAAAATTGAGAGACATTTAGGACACAATGCAGATGGTATGGTGCGGAGAGCTGGGCTGACTCCAAAACAGTGATGTAAGAACCAAGAAGAACCACTTTGACTTAACTCATTTGGACTCTATGATTTGTGTCTTCATCTCCTGGAGGAATCAGAGGAGGAAATGACACTTTTTATATTATTTTCAGCAATTCAATAAGCACAGGAAGGAGTTGGTGAAATCCCAGTCAGGAGGAAAGTATTTCCACAAGTACTGTCCATATGATTGCAGTTTGAATATTAAATAAACTACAGTAGGCTTATTCGATATTTGAAAAGTTAATTTCTTCCTCCTTGCTTTCTATCCTCCTACATTCATTTATCAACTGCTTGTGTCACTGTAGTATTGTCCAGACTTCTGAGGATATAATGGTAAGCAAAACTAATGTGATGCTTGTCCTCATAGACCTTACAGTCTAGTGGGAAAAGCAGTCAATGAAGCATGTTGATAATAAAGTGCAATGATGGTTGTAATAGTGTGGTATGGGAACTCATCATGACATGTATCCATTTCACAATGTAAAGGAAAAGAAGCCAAGGGAAGTCTCCCAGAGGAAGTGGCATGCAGGTTAGCACCTAAAGGAAAAGGATTCCTCTAATTAATACAGTTCTGTCTCCTCAGGGTGCTATTTGGGAGCCACTAATAGATGTGTGGGGACAAAGAGAAGGGTTTATGTGGTCCATAACAAGACCATTATCATTCTTACTTTAATACATCTCTCAATTTTTATAAAGTAACTCACATTTAAAATGTCAAACATTGCACGAAGCACAAGTATCTGAAACAGCCACTGCCTAGTGTATACACACACACACACACACACACACACACACACACACACACACACACACAGAGTTTATTCTTCCAGTAAGTTACAACTACCTGGGAGAGGAAAATACCTCAAGTGGCTTTTCTCAAGAAAGAAGAATGTGTGGAACTACATGCTAGACTGATGATTCTAACAGATTAATCTGTGCACTAGTGTTAGTCTCTGGAGCAGGAGTCAAGGCAAGAGGGAGGATGTAGCTAGAAGAAACAAGGATGTCTTAAAGATTACACAGCATAACCAACAATCCAGGGAAGAACCCACTGAAGGAAAAAGAAATATAAAAGATAAGTTTATCAAGACATCCCACATCTCAGAGGAAATGAAGACTGAAAAAATGCTCTGTTTTGACCACCTGGGTTTACTTAGAAACTGATTATGAGTGGAGTAGATGTATAAGTGGTAATGGATGCTACACTTAACATTATTTAATCATCTACCATGTTATTGAATAAAGGTCAACTCTTTTGAAGTCTCAATAATTCAATGATATTATGCTGCTTTTAA